ACGTCCCCATATAAACTGACAGTTTTACAATGTGGGAAAGCAGAGACTTAAATATTTGGTTTCCTAATCTCATTGGTTAAACTCGATGTTTATGTTAAAAACTTTGTGCTGTTTTCAGTAACCCTTACAACAAAATTCCTTCACAATATACTTCAAGTTGATAATAGCCTGCAAATCGATGGTTTGACGTTACTAAACTGTGTTTACGCTATCAGTGAATAAAAGCGCAGGCCTTCCATGAATGAAAAATAACAAAAATATTTCTTTTCAAAATTATTGGTAATTTATCAAGATTCATAAATAACAACTGATATAAAGTGAACAGTATGCTTTTTAAAACACGAAAAGAAACAATACTGTCGTCTGCTGTTCAACAATAGCTTACTCGTGAATTTCCTCTTAAAATACCATGCACTCTCAAAAGTTCCTTCTCTGCTGTTAAAAAAAAACACACATTTATACATAGACGGGTTTCTGTGACTAGGGTTTTTTCGCCAAGTGATTTTTGGTAACTATGTGAGTACGATCATGTCCTTCCACCCGCCGCGAGGTGGCGTGGCGAAAGCAGCCAAAAACTGGCGTGCAACAGTGCTGGTTGATTAGGGCGCTACTGCAGAAAGAGGGTTTTGTTCGGTGTATTATTTTGTTCCAGAATCGAACAGGAAGGCTTGTTCTCTTGGTTAATGTATCTTCATTGAGACACGTGTCAGAAAAGGAAGATGGAGAGGCAGCAACGTGAATTGATTCTGAGAAACAGTTTTAAAAAAAACAACAAAAAACGGAGCCATTTGTTATGCGTCGCTGCATGATCTTGGTGTAGCTTGGGAGAATCAGTACACATGCACACAATAAAATTTCAGAATCACTTGAAAAACATTTTAGCAGTCAAGTTGTAATTTTTCTCTCCAAGTTTGCATGGATTTATAAAAAAATGACATCTATAGCGAACTGAAACGAACACAGACCCAATGGGTTTTTTTTCACATCATATAAACATGCAGTATAGAACTATACATGAAGAAATATTCTCGTTTTGTTTCAATAGTTTCAATTTCACTTTCAAAACAAACACATTCATTAAGCCACATTTTCACAAGAACTTTTGAGTATTTTTGCTCACTGCATTTTCTCCGTATTTTCACGCAAACAAAAATAATCCATAATGAAAAAACAATAATACCCAGCCGTGAAGTAATGATGGATAACACATGAAGCTAGACAACGATTTGACCGTCCGTTTTCGTCCGCTTTGGTTTGGATTTCTCATTCCTGACCACCCTATTAACGTGTTTGACTGGCACAGGGTGATATTGGTGGGTTGGAACGGCGTACTCGATTGTCTTTCGAACTTCGCGTTGGTCCTTTTGGAAAGTTAATTTAACAGCGAAATTTCTCCAGGAATTGATAGTCTTGGACGACCAAATCCACATCCCACTGGTGATGCCAACCACCAGAGTCATAAAAATCTTTAACATGAAGATTTCCATCTTTGGTTCACTAGAAATAGAGTTTTTAAGGTACCAAGAGTCTCTGCTCGCAAATTCATACAATAGGCACGCTATGACTATCGCGGCGGGGATTGTATAAAGTAGACTGAAGACTCCAATGCGGATCTTCAGGACTTCAATTTTAGCGGATTTCACTCCGTTTATACGGTCCTGGGACTGGACCCTTAATAAAGCTATAAATCCGGCGATTAAAAACGCCACTCCAATGACGAGGTAGACAAATGAAGGGGCCACAGAAAACCCCAAAAGTGTCTGTGTGTTTTGGTTTCCAACATAGCAAATCCCTGTCAGTTCGTCCGCATCTACTTCCCTCATGACAAGAATTATAATTGTTTCTATGGCGGGCAGGGCCCAGGCCACTAAATGGAAGTAACTGCTATGGAGCTGAATTGCATCGTGGCTCCATTTAAGTCCCGCAGACAGAAACCACGTAAGGGTCAAAATGACCCACCACAAAGCGGCTGCTGAGCCAAAATAGTAAAGTAAGAGAAAGACAATGGCACAGTCCGTGTTTTCTAGACCCTCTTGGATCAGAATGAAGGACTTGCTGGCTGTGTCCCGATCACAGGCGATGGACTCCCTACCGGCGATCAGTCGCACAATGTAAGCAATACTGTAGATATTGTAGCACATGGAAAGAAAAATGATAGGACGCTCCGGGTACTTGAACCTCTGAGAGTCAATGACAAATGTAAGGATGGTGAATAATGTAGACACAAAACATAAACCTGACCAGATGGACATCCATATATCAGCAAAGTACTTGTCCTCTGCTGAAAACGCCGCATTTTCGTTACACTTGAGCGCGCACCTGCCAGTTCGGTTGATGAAGGTGTACATTTTATGATACCTGAACTGGTCACATTCGCTTTTTTCTTTTGTGGGTGGTTTGAAGGTTGGTTTTCTTGGTGGCTCCTCGACTGCGCTCTCTCCAGGCCCGTCCATGCACATATGGTGCTGGTCATTTTTGGGTGGAAACTTTGAACAATTAAGAGCCACTGGCCAAGGGAACCCAAACTCGTGAAGGACTGGCTGACAGCGCCTCTGCACGCTCAAACACATTGGTCTACAAGGTCCAATGGGGTCTATCACTTTCTCGGTACACATTGGTACATATACTGAACACAGGAAAAATTTAAGTTGCTGTGAGCAACCATATTGAATGAGAGGAGTAAATGTTTGTAATTGTAACTCAGCATCTTGTTGAAGATCGTGTCCGACCAGATTCGGCATACCCGTAACGTTATATCCCAAACCCTTACACATCTCAATGCGGATAGGGTCACACTTCCTGACAATTTCTGTTCCCTCACAACGTTTCAGGACTAACAGACACACCAACACAGTCAACACTAGCCGTATGTCTCTGTATTCCATTTTAAAAAGCACTTGTGCAAGTGAATAATTCCAAAAGTTAAACGTTACAAGTCCATTAGCAGTCAAATTGGATTGTTAGTAAAAACAGCAATAAAATTTCTATAACGTTCATACACTCCCCTTCTCTGACATACCGAACACATGGTTGTGTGTTTCTTTACTGATAACAATGCCACGGTTTGGCAAAGATAAACAGCGAAGTTTAGAAGTCACGAAGTTCCATCTTAGAAACTGTCCTCTGTGGCAAATCTCACAAAATACAAGTCCATACTAAGGTTCCCCCCAAATAAATTATAACCCGAGATCGCGGTCTATCGTTACTGAAAACACAACATTCTTGTGTGCAGACCCACTAAGTGTTCCCTTCCTAGGCAAGGTCCAATCAGCTGCTTTGTTTTGATTGTTTGCTCCTCCCCCGGATTAGTGTGGTACCCGTACCGGCGATCAATCAGGGCGCACTCGACTGCCAATCATAACCAATGTCCAGTACTCAATGGAAATAATACGCTATGCAGCTTCACACACGGAAAGAAAATTATAGCGTGGCACTTTTTCCCTTTGCTCTGATAATGCCTTTTTCACTTGGGCTCTATTCACATCTGACGAGCCATTCAAAACCTTTGTTAAAGTGTCATATTACCCTTTTTAACACGGTGGAAATCATTCCTCTCAGTGATAAACTCCCGTCCAAAATAAAAACGCTACAGCGAATTAAAGTATTTTTCTTCGTGACAACATGATACAAAAATGCTAATTTATAAAATAAAAGGTAGTTAATGTCTCGCGCATAAACGCACGTGCTTGCCTACAAATGCCCCACTAATAAATGGTTATATTCAACATTGCGGAGCTGAGGTCGAAGTTGGGCGACTGTTCGCCCATAATTTATACCGCTCTAACTTATCCAGCTACAAACAATCAGATTCTTATGACACTTGTGCAAAACTCCATATATCAAGTGCTTTAAAAAGTTTATGGAATGGCTCCAGTCTTTAAGCTACGAGCTCTGCGCCATTTTTTCTCCGCCTCTGTTTATTGCTGTAAAATTAACATCATTCCAAATTAGCTCCGAGTTTTCCTCTGGATGCGGTAGAGTGGTTATAGCAATTACACCATCAACGTAGACCTCCCAGCGTTTAATAAAACTACTACACATTTGATTTTCTATTTCAAATTATTTTTGTTTGACGACCAAAATATAAATTTCAGAACAAAAAGCATTATATGGTCAATAAGTGAATCAAACAGCTGTCTCCGCTATAATGAAAGGCCCGCGAGGTAAAACTTAGAGATCGCCGTGATTTTCACTGACAATACGCGTCTGTTGCCTCCGATACTTGACAACGCTGAGCAGTTGCGGGCACCGGTGTCTTTAACGGTCAGTAAATCAAGCACACCCAAGTTGCCTCGCTTTGCTTTGAATGCAAAAACTTTCTAAGTAAAGGTTTGTACAAAAGTTATGTGTCAATGATTTCTAATTGTTAAGGCAAAAAATACTTCAATTGTATGAATGTATACTTATTATTTATTTTATCATAAAACGTAACATGTTATATGAAAAAAAAAAATAATAAAACACAAAATAAAATGTATAAACAGAAAAGTAATAAAGATGATAAACATTGAGATGCACTAGAAACTATAAATAGTAAAGTTAATTTCTTCCCATTAAAGACAAATTAACAGCTGAGATCACAGAGTTGTTAAACTTAATATTAAATAATCCATGGAGACATATAAAATTTCTTGCCATAAAAGAACTCTTTTCAAGAGGTAACATACATTAACAAGAAAGAAAAGTTATTTCTCAAAAGCAATTGAAATCTTTAGGAATATGAATATTATTTACAACCAATAAAAATAACAATTTTCCTCTAAAAATTACTAATTTCTGAATCTTGATTCCTACACTATAATTACACACTAGTTTTAAACAAGAGGTTTATAGATCTTTGCACTCACCTGAGTTTCTAGGCTCTCTCTCAGGAGTGAAGCTCAAGTAAAACTTGCCATCAAAACTATTTCAATTGAAAACAATAGTTTGAATAAAGGTTAAGAAGGTTGACAAAATTTTCACCTTATCCATGAGAAGTTTACCCCCCCCCCCCCCCCCAACAAGAAAAAGTATCAAAGGGTATCATATAAAAACACAATTATATGGTCATTCCTGGAAAGACACATTTTTGAATCCCAAAATGCTTATTGCAAAGTTGGGTGGTTCTTGAGATAATATTCAAAAAGAAAAATATGTATAGACTGTGGAAGAAAAAAAATTATAAGGAAAGCTTATCTGAACTGGCTCTGGTGAGTTAATATTTTAGACCTCAGACTCAACTTTCAAGATAAATTTTCTTGCACAAGGATCATTTAACATCAACTTAATGCAAAATGATTTCTCAAAATCTTTAAAATTCATTATGTTTTATAAAAGATATACTAATCTAACTCTTATTTAGAATAAATAGTAAGAGTTTACAAATTTCTACAACAGGTACCAGTACACTCTGGTCAAGAAGAACAACAATTCTCTCTCTCTCTGAAATATTCTATTGTAAATATGCACATGTATAAGGATGACATAAATTAACAACAAACTCATTTTGTCTATGCTAGAAGAAAATGAATGCCCAGTGCCTTTCCCTTAACTTTCAGTAGCATCATTACAAATATAAACACATTTACTTAATATCTGAGCTTTTTAAATATTTAATTGCACTTTTAAAGACTTAGCTGTAAACTGGTTGCCATATATAACCTAGGTTGACTATTTTTTTCTTAGCTAACTTCTGTCAACACAGAGTACAAGATATAACCTGACAGGATTCTTCTACACTGAGCCAGACTAGGACAGGTTCCAACAGTCAAAAAATATTTATAACTGAACACTGAATATCTGATGAACATGCATAGCATACTTTGGCTAAGCAAATAAAAGTTTATAACATCACTGAAATGCATTGTAAGTGTATGAAAAAGGATACATCAACAATTTCTCTAACAATGAGCTGGGATTATTTTCTTTGTGTCACAAGTATTTATGGCTGTACCACAGTGTATCCTTGACTATTACTTTGATCCTGCGGACAGAAATCGTTATTATGAATTGGGACTATATTTTTGCTGCATGACACGTCACTGACTAGGCCATAGTGTATCCTTGACTACCACACTGAAGAGCTACCATCAAACGCTCCTTTAACTCAGATTTTGTTGAATATTCTGGTAGTTTCAATAGGTTGATACTGAAAAGTATTATTTACATATATTACTATGAAGATACAAATGTTACAGGTTTATTGACATTTTTTCAAGTATATATACAAGTATATATACATACATAGGAATAATCTACCATTGGTAGGTCTTACTCAAAACGGACCATATCACCAATGTAATAAATTTTATACTGCTCCACAATGTGATCTTGATCATCTAAAATCTTAAGCAACCTTAGCTTCAAAGTTATTATCAAGATAAGAATTTTATAGTCTTGATTATTGTGACCTTTATCTTGTCCAAATGACCTTAATTAGTGTCAAGTCAGATTCTTAAGTAAAAAGAAACCCTTGTGTCAAGAACAACCCTTAAAAATGTGGCAGGGACAAGATTTTTTTTTTTTTTTTTTTATCTTTGACTTTGACTGAGTGCAAGTAACTTTGGCTTGTCTTTATAATACCTACAAGTCCAAAAAATCTTTGTGCAAAGTATGTCAACACAATGATTCTATAATAGCCCAAAACTTTGTGGTGGGTATAAATATAATCTGAGATAGATGGAAGCTTATTGAATTTTTCACTGATGTCTTACTCTTCATGAACTTGTTCTCGTAAAATTCTGATTTTCAAACCATTTGTACTGAATGTAGTATGAAGAATGTTCATCATATTTTGTATAATTTTCAAAACTATTTATAATACACTCTATAATTAAGCTTCTCAGACAAGTCATAAGATCAGGTTACCATGTACTGGCTGTAGGTAGGAGCTGGGGTTGGTAGGTGACATGGCTGATGGTGAATTTTTGTGGTCCTCCACCTCCACCCAGACGAGAAAATCCCCCAAAGGGAACACGGGAGCTGAAACAAAGAACACTTCATTAACAATTGTTCTCTTTTGTCTTTAATTAAAAGTCCAAAATTTGACAATTCTTGACAATCAAGAAAGAGATACTGAACAACAGAAACATAGGAGACATACAATAAACAAGAATAAGATTTTGTCTTCTTACACATGATAAACATGTACTTACCTTCCTGTGGTAAACTGTAGCAGTAAAACTCTGTCTTGTTGACCAAATTCTTCTACCACTTCCCAAAACCACTGTCAAAAGTTCAAAAATGATCATTAATATTTAACATCTTGATATATGAATCTAGATCTCAGGCAAATTATATTCCATACAAACACATACACAACCCTGAGCGTAATTTAAATTTTAGATTTCCTTTGTGATAAAAATAATTAAGTTGTAAAAGGAATATATTTCTGAATACTTTTACACTTTAACAAATGTCTACAATTATCTCCCTTTCAAAACAGAAGAGACCCATGTCTTAACAATAAAACTAGATTTCTGAATATTGTATCTTTTTTGTAAATGTCTAAAATTATCTCCCTTTAGGAAGAAGTGAACCCATGTCCTAAGCAAGCACTGTAGCTGACACACCTGCATTTGAGGAGAGTTCGACACACCTGTATTTGAGGAGAGTTTGACACACCTGTATTTGAGGAGTTTTAAAACAACTGTATTTGAGGAGAGTTTAGACACACCTGTATTTGAGGAGAGTTTTGACACACCTGTGTTTGAGGGAGAGTTTTGACACACCTGTATTTGAGGGAGAGTTTTGACACACCTGTATTTGAGGAGAGTTTGTGACACACCTGTATTTGAGGGAGAGTTTTGACACACCTGTATTTGAGGAGAGTTTGTGACACACCTGTATTTGAGGAGAGTTTGTGACACACCTGTATCTGAGGAGAGTTTTGACACACCTGTATTTGAGGAGAGTTTTGACACACTTGTATTTGGGGAGAGTTTTGACACACCTGTATTTGAGGAGAGTTTGACACACCTGTATTTGAGGAGAGTTTTCATCATATCCACTGTACTCTGTGTATTTTCTCCAGTCGTCAACATTGATCTCTGGTAATCCAGATAATAGTAGTTCCTGTAGGAATATACTCATAGTCAGTTAGGCTGTACATGTATTGCATGTACCATTTAACAGTACATGAGAATGTCAAAGATGTCTTCTTTGAGGTTTTATTTCAGTTTAATATTCTTAGTCCATCACACAAAAAAATATTTCAACAGATATATCAACTTTGATATTAATCAAATATCAGGTAATAAAATGTCCCCCTCCCCAAACAAAATGATTCTCATACTTCATTACAAAAAGCAATATAAACACTGAGTTCAATACCAGTTCAAATTCATCAAACATCTGTACGAGAGCCTGTGGAACAAACTCATGAAATCCAGACAGAAAGCTGTCAATCTGAGGCTGGATGGCTCGGGTCATCCGGAGTTCTGTCACCAGCTGTACGTACTCCTCCTGCAAAAAGATTCATTATGCATTTATATACTAAATCATTGTCTCTGAATAAAAGTGGAAGATGCATTTTGTTTTGAGGATATATTTGTTTTATTGTTTACTTTTAAAAAAAAAAATGATTTCATTGAAAAGAAGAAAATTTACAATTCATTATAAAATAATATATGTTTTTGCAAGTCTTTAGCTTGAGACTTTCTACCCACTGAAAAAGACAATGTCTACTCTATGAAATGTGTGAGTCACACCTTGTTTTTCTCTGTCACTGGTGTCGTGGCACCTCCTGGTTTAAGCTCCACTTCCTGCATGGCTCCAAACACATCTGTCTCCACCGAAAAGGTAAGGTCAAGGCCAATATTGTCAATGTTGTGATCCAGTATCCACTAAATACAGTAAATGCATCAATCCCAGTGGAGACATTTACCACAACAAATTTGCTGATATTTAGAAAAAAAATCGAATTACTACCTGGATGCAGCATTTCTATTTACCTGTAGATTCTTGGCATACTCGGGGTCTATAGATGCTACATCAGTATAATTCACAGGAATACCTGTACAACAGATAGATGCTGATTTTAGTAGCAAACTAATGTTTGACTTCATTTCTGAAAGGCAACAATTTGCCTAAAAACTAGAAAACTGACCAGTCGGCAAGGGCCCCGCCGAGGGGTAGAAATATAAGAGTGCAGCTTACAGAATGAGAATTTTAATTGATTAGAAAAATTTAAAAATATATGAAGAATATGCAATAACGACTTTATTTATAAAATTTCAAGATAATTCCTAAATATCCAACAACCTGTAAAGAGTATCCCTGTATTTACATAAGGCAGTAAAAAACATCATATCTATAATAACTCAATTAAATGTATATTCAAACAAGAATAAAGCATGTGTTTTCAAATATCACCAAGTCTTGACCTTAACTTCAAAACAAACATCAGTTGCAGACAAAGGTTAATATATCTTAAACTGACAAATAAAGATAAGCCTGGAAAATTTTCTGCCCAAGACAAGATAATTAATCCCAAGGGATTAATTGTACTGCTCTCTTATCCTTTTCTTCCAAGTTTACAATAAGAACTCTTTCAGTAATGATAGAATGAGTTTATTATTGGACTACCCGTTAAAATTAATAGTATTCTTGAATTTAAAATGGCAGCCAAAAAAAAAAATGAATAAATAAATACAATAAATAAATAAAAACAAAAAAATAAAAAAAACATATCTTTATGTATATCTTGTTTTTAGAGTTCAATAAAATCATAACTCATTGTATATTTTACCAATATAAAGTATGAACATTATTTAAATCCACATTTCATAGAATGTAAACATCATTCAGAATTGACCTTAACTTCAAAACAAACTTCATTTGCAGACACAGGTGTTAATTAATCTCAATTTGACAGAAACAGATAATGCTTTGGATTCTCTTCAAGAGGAAAGTTAATTAATCCCATGGGACTAGTTGCAGCTTTCATAGTTTACAATTTGAACATTCTCAGCAGTTATCTCTCTTTGCCCTGGCATTCATTCTAATGTAAAGTTAAGGAATATACCCCACCACCCCAGCTCAAAACTGGATGACACAGAGAACCAAACTTAGCATCAAAATATGCCTTACTGCCTCTTCAACCAACATACCAAATTTGAACTTAATTGGTCAACTACAAAAAAAGTTATTAGAAAAAAAACAGAAAATTTGCGGACGGAAGAATGACAGACGGACAGACAGACAGACAGACAGAGTGATTACTATAGGGCACCCCAAATCCTTGCGGGGCCCTAATAACAACCATACACTGATTTATCTAAGATTGACTTGATTTTTCAACTATAACAGAAATATTATCCTAGATTTTTATTTTGAATGGAATACAAGGTGCTATTTCTTGATGCTATTGTGCCTTTTATACCATTAAAGATACAAACATTTAAATTGTTTATAGATGTCAAATCAAAACAGAAATGAAAGATATTGTTGGTCTCCTATGTAAAAATTATAAAACAATATGGATTTATATTTGAAGCTATCTAATTTTTAAAAACAAGATTCGCTTTAATTTTCATATATACTTACGTGATATTTTCTTACACTTACTAATCCTGACCCAGGATAGTTAAAAGATATAAATGGGTTTCATTGTGATATATATTAAAAGCGTTAAAAAAAATTAGATATATAAAACATCTTTTCTTAATATAGCAAATCACATTTTAGAGAAATGAGCCCTTACCAAGTATGTGTTTGTAGAATGATCTTGTAAAGTAAACGTTTAGGAGATGTTGATGATAGAGAGCCAATCCCAGTGTCTGTCCTGCAAATCGGAAGTAGTTCAGATGATCTGGGTTAATGGCAGAGTTACTGTTGGGCTGGAAAGTACAACCTGCAAAGCATTATCACAGTAGTTTAACAGCACAGAAGGAGTAAATCATTTAAAACCATAATTTGATTTTCAAAAAAAAAAAAAATTGACAAAAACACAATACCATCAGCCGACTGAGTGAACAAGGCATAATCTGGATTGAGAACTTCTCGTGATAAAACATCAAACCACTCTCTTACAACTCCTGATCCCTACAGAAGATATGAGGTGATTTAAGATCTAACAGCCAAAAATGTCTTAGTCTCGGAAAGAAGTAAATAAATATTACTGTAATCTTTAAATACACTGAGGCAAAAATGCCTTATAATCTGAAATTTACTTTTTGGATACAAAAGCTTTATACATTGTACTGTATATTTTTTTTATTGAGTATAGTGAAAACTGACCATTCCTTCTTCTCCCTGGAATCTAATGGCCAGACCTTTCTTCAGTTTGTCTGAGGACTGTTTGATCAGACTCTCACAGCTGCTGTGAAACATTCTCTCTGGAAGAAATTGACACATATATTTGAAACATAGAAGCTTAAATTCCTGGTCTTAGATGTATCTTGCATTCTTCCTCTACATAGAAATGATCAGTTTACAAGCGATTAAGATTTGACTAATTCAGATAGTTTATTGTAAGAGGGTAAGGTAAAGCTATCCATTCATTATACAGCTGATGGGTTCCTTTTTCTCACCTCGGCTTATCACAAGGACATCTTCATCACTTGGCGGGGAATGAATGATTTCTCCTCGAGAACCTTCCCTGTCCAAATTATCATAGAACCACCGTCTCCTAGATTCAAATGGCTGGACAATAAAGAAAGTACAAATTTACTACCAAAACAACAACTTTCTCTTCCACTTTATTTTAATCCATGCAGTCTATGCTGAAGCAACACACAGACATTTATACAATATGTGTTACTGTAAATCACAATTTGCGAGAACTTTATTTTCAAGTTATTATGCAAGGCTATATACTTGCTGAAATTTAATTCTTGCGCATATTTTTATTATAAAAGATTACATAAAACGAAGTCAAAATTCATTTGAACCTTTGGCTCAATCAATTAATTATTGCATTTAACTTACTCTTGACCTGATGATATGTAGAAACTGAGACATCAACTCAGGACACTCCAGGAGAAAGTGGAAGTGGTCAAAAATAATCTCGGGGTTCCTGCAACAAGTAAACTTAGGCATAAATATATAAGCTATAAATAGAATACATTTTATAATTACTTTATTCTCATAGGTATACAAAATATATCTTACCTTCCAACAAGAAGTTTTAACTCCCTATTATGCTGACATACAAATTCTATAAATCTTGGAGATGTCATTCTGAAATAAGAAATAATCAAACAGAAATGAACTTCTTCAATGTTTTACAATTGATACAAATTTAGCAGCTATAGAAATCCAAAACTTTTTACAATTTGAGCAACACTGATGAATCTCACTTACTGTGGGTGTCCATGTTGACAGGTACAGCAAATATAAAATGCATGAATGACCCCACAAATCCTGGGCAGAATGACTCCCACCACATCCTGATCCACACATAGGCTTTGTAGGATCCCCTCCTGATCACAGGTATTAGGATCCACCACTTTACTACATTCAGTGACAAGTTCACTCTGAGTGTCTGATATCTCAATCCTAACATCCTGAGATTTCGCTTGTTGCCCTGAGACTGAATTTTCTGATTGAGTTTTCCCTGATGTTAACTTTTTGTCCTCTTTGTTGAATTCCACTCTTAAAAGACACAGCCAATCAGCAAGTAGCTGCCATAATGCCTCAAGTGGCTGGAAAAAATTACATACCAAAATTAAATCACACAGGCATCTTTCCAGGGAAAAAAAGCACAGAATAGTAAGACTAATTGGTAAAACACCACTTACCCCGAACACTTGTATAGCTTTGGGTGACACCCGTGTGACTCCTTGCAGTCCTTTTGATTGGCTGGATGTAGATAAGCTGGAAGATGATTGGTAGATGTGGGAGTATAATTTACATAATACTCTAACACTTCTTAACAGACAAGACACTTGGGTTTCAATGTTGCTGGAAACGCTGCAAAAATGAAAAATACAGGTATTATAGAGCTAACTAATGAATAATAATATATATTTTTTAAAAATTTGTTTGTTTGTTTTCTTGTAAAGAAGAAGCAATCTTTTCCGTTTTACACTCAGCAATGCATCATTTTAATTCAAACATGGTGTGTATGCAATTTTTACAAAAGTATAGACATGTATTCTGTGGAACAGGTTTTTATCAATGAATATCTGTTTTAATTCCTCTTTGAAATTTACCTCAATAGATTGTGTCCAATTATAGAGGCCTCTTCTGATAATCTGGTAAGTAATACATCAGCCATTCCACTACCCTGGGAACTGACATATATCAGAACCTTCAAATACTACAAAATAAACAACAATAAAAAGTTCTGATACTCTTGCTTTTAAATCAATTGATAAGCTCCTGCAAAGATTAACAAATGCCTACATCTGCCTCTTTTATCTTTTCACTTCTGACACTGTTGATGAGTTGCTCCATTAATTTTGGTAAGTACTGTAGAAGGATACTGCATGTCTCACTGTACCCACCCTGTAACGGTTTTGTTTAAACTTCTTTTACTATCACTACTTTCTTTGTGGTGGACTTGAACTCATAATACACACTACTGTAAATCACTTTTTATTTGTGAGAACTTTATTTTCGCATACCGGTAATTCCGCGAGACAGTGTGCTCGAGAAAATTTTATTCTCGCGTATATTAGTATTCCTTAAGATTATTAAGAGCAAAAACCACCATTTGTGAAAATTTTGTCTCACTTTTAAAGAGTAAATGACTATCTCGCGAAAATAACGTGTTGCGAAAATTGAGTGATCTACAGTATTTTCATTGGTAAATATATCTTTCTTTAATTAAAATATTTTCGATTTGCACCACATAAAACACTTTTAAGAAAATTAAAAATTTTATTTTCTGCCCAAAATTTTTTAGACTGTTATATAGTCTCAGTTTAAGAATTTCCTTATGGACACACTTATTCCAAAGTAAGATTTACTTGTAAGCATAGATCCAGGGGAGTTTTCCCAAAATGGTCCACATTAAACCTAGACCCTCGCCTCAACAGAATGTCTGCAGTGTTATGCTGGCCGTGACTGAAATTTAAACATTCAATATCTCAGCAATATACATACAAAATCATAGAAATTAAAGAGATAGGTTCACTTTATCCATAAAATGGCCCTGCCCATATACCAATTAACTAACCAAGACCCAATGTCCCATTTCAAACATCAATATAAAGAAAAGACTTATTGCTTTCATTTCATATAAAAAAGTTTCCTCTGAAGTCCAAGTATTGTAAAAACAGGCTATGTGAAATTGCATTGTTCTTGAATTTTGCAGAAAATGATTGTATTTGAGTACCTTGAACAAAAAACTAAAACGTGAGCCTATCCCTCGATCCAAAAAATAAAACATGTCTTATAATCTTCAGAAACAGTTCTTTCATAACATAATTGCATATTTTGGATCAGAGGTTGGGCTCTGTGCAAAAAATTGAAAATAGCTTAGAATTTTAGCCATTTTGGAAGATATTTTCAGCATTTGAGGATAATGACCCAATTCATGACGTTTCGTTTTTGATAGATATGCAGTCACAGAGAAAGAATTGGTGGACTCAAGAGTCCAGGCCCCAAGACCATAAACTGAGAACAGACTTATGTAAAAATTTCAAATTGATATAATTTTTGAAATAATTTTCATAATCTAACAAAATTTTCATCACTTGTTTATATTTGAACATTATACATGTACAATCCTGCAATTTTTAAAACACATATGTCAAATAAAACCCAAGAAATTCATAATCAAAATTTTGACTCAAGTCTGTTCTCAGTTTATGGACCAAAGGCCTGGAAAAAAGCTGTAAATTGAAGTTTTATAAAACGTTTATTTCTTTCCATATTATAAATTACCGATATCTAAACCGTGTATTCTGGCTACAGATATGAATTTACAACACTCTTTTCGAGGAAAACCAAATAAATATCAAAGGCATGGGGCCTGAAGATTTCTTAAATACATGTATCAATAAATTATATAATCAAGGTCACGCTTTTTTTATTGTCTAAATACATACTCAGCGCATGTTTGTTGGCTGTTCTTAAGAAAAACTGTAGTTGTATATTGAACAAACTAATGTCATACAAGAGCACCGCTAAGCGGAGCATCCCCTCTCGCCAGGAACTTCACCAGTAATGGCAATGTCTCCATACGAGAGAAAAATTCTCAAGAGGGACTTTAAACAAAATACAATCATCTAGGTCTAATAATCAACGGTACCCAGTATTCCTATGTAAAGTTTAAAATAAGGTAAAGAAATTAAAATGTATTGCAACACTAATTAAATTTTAACAAAAGTCAAGATGGATATCCTCGAGGGTGGGGTGGGGGTTGCGTCATAAGCATACGTGATTGGGCAGTTTCCCTTATTCCTAACAGAAACATATCACGTATGCTCTAAATTTCACTAATTTACCTACCTGAGTAAACCTCACAGTAGCATGCAATATGCATCAAATCTGAAAATACGCACGGAAGTAATATTTTTTTGTAGTGAAAAATGACAATATACCGGTGTTGAGATGTCAATGACACTTGTGAAACTTTATATTTATCACTGTTTATAACTTTCAAGAATTACATGCGCCTCAGGCCCCTATTGTAAACACACACACGTGTGGTAATTGGGTATTGAAACCGTGACGTTCATCAAATTATTTCAGTTACTCTGTGACAGAGATGACACTTTTAATTCATAAAAACTTTCTCAGATACGCACAATAAAATGACAATACAAAGTAGAACTTACAGAAGCGGCTCTATCGAAACGACCCGAATTTTAACCTGTTACATTTACCGGAAGTGAGTATTGTCAACTCGTACATAAAATTGCAGGGTTTGAAGGTAGTAAAAATGCGATATTTTAAGAACTATTTCACCGCTTAACTTGAAAATGAATAGGGTTCGTCCTTTTACAATGCCACATAAGTATGTGAAGGCTGAAAAATGATAGTGCAAAGGTTCTCTTTAAATCTTGCCCACAAGCTGTAACGGACACACTAACACACACACATACGCACAGTAGCGATGCTATATCCCCTCCGCAACTAGTTGCGCGAGGGGATAATTAAAAGGAGATGAGCCAATAAACGTGCGCTCATTCTTTAATTTTACAAAAAACTGTTCAAAACAGACTTGTCGCTTCCATTGTTATGACTGTGTTAACCTTCATATGCCTTCGATTGACCTGTTAACCTGTTAAATATTACAATTGATCACTTGATGTCCACCTACAATTACATTGTATTTTTAAATGTGACCTTGATCTAAATCACGTCTTAGAGCATGTTTGGTTGGTCTGCCACAATATCTACCAGAGAAATCTTTTAATTTCATATTGACATCGCTGTAATATACCATACACATATTCCAATATCTACAGAGAGAGAGAAGGAGAGAGAGAGATACTGTCACTCACGCAGATAGCCCTGCTTCCTATTAATATTGATTATATGACCTAAAAAACAATCTTGGTATATGTCAAATTCCGGACGGCTACACTAATTTATCATTGCTTCAATTTTGATTCATGGCAACAGGGCATTGCTTTTGTATAAATGTTTTACCTAATATAATCATGTATATGTAAAGCTTGTCCTTGCTTGTAAAATATTTTGGATTCACTTCATTTACAGCTTGGTAGAGGGTTCACAAAAAGACCCAAAATAGGGCATTAAGTCTACTCATTCTTTAATGTATTTTCAACTAAAACTGAGCAGTTTTAATTTTTCAGAAATTCACAGGACCAAAAAGGTCCTAAGTTAACCTTGTTCTATATACATATCTCTTGGCTAATCTACCTGCAGGCAAAGTGTAATGGGGTCCATCCATTATGGTTTGGTCTGTTAGCATCAGCTCCATGGTCCAGTAGACAAATCACAGTCTGTATAAAAAAAGGACTGTCATTCAATAATTCTTTTTAAAAAGTCAAACAATTTCATGTTTAAGCCTTTTATCTACATATATACTTGATGGACAGGCTATCTTTACTTACTGACTTGATGGATAGGCTATTTTTACTTACTGTCTTGATGGACAGGCTATTTTTACTTACTGACTTATGACCATTCTGACAGGCTACATGTAATGCTGTTTGTCCCTGTGCATCCTGCAAAGGAAACACACAAATATTTACTAATACTTTTATATACACTAAGGCTTCTGAATGATCTAATCTTTAGACAAACTTGAGAAATATGTAGGACTCCAAAGTGCAATGGGACTCCAAAGCCAGATAGTCATGCCAAAGTCCGATGGTCTGCGCCAAACCCCGATGGTTGACACGCCAAAGTCCAATGGTGCAGAAAAATAATTACTGTTTATGACGTCATAGTACTTCTGCACCAAACTGCGATGCTGCGCCATGCCAAGGTAAAACAGTTTAAAATAAATTAAATGAATTTTAAGTATTTAAATGCCAAAGTAATATGGTTTCCCTAAAATACGCAAAAATATAATTGTAACACTAGCTATAATTTCTTAAGAGGTTGCGAGGCTAACCCTTACCTCTCGGATGGGTGCGAGGCTAACCCTAATCTCTTGGATGCGTGCGAGGATAATCCTAATCTTTCGGATGGGTCCGAGGCTGACCCTTATCTCTTGGAAGTGTGCGAGGTTACTCCTTATCGGCCGAAAAGTCTGTAACATCCTGGATGGGATAGAAACTAACCCTATTCAGTCAGGGTGCGAGACTAAAACTATTCAATCGAATAGTGTACAAGGATTAACTCTATCTGTCTGGTGGGTGCAACCCATCCTATAATCAGTGTAATTGTGCACAAGGACTAAACCTTATCAGCCAAGTGCTGTGCAAGGACTAATCCTAATAACTCAGGGTGTGTGCAAACAATAAGTAAAATCAGTCAAATTGTATGCGATGACTCATCCTAAATTATTCGTTTTGAGTAACAGACAATGGTGTGGAGGATTGATGTTGAAATATTGTGATGTTATAAACGTTAATTGTTTCTCCGCACTATCAGACTTTGGCTTGTCAGACCATCGCACTTTAGCACACGTGTATCATAGGAAACAAGCCATCGGACTTTAGCGTGACCATCGGACTTTGGCGTCCGTACTGACGTCAAACCATCGGGGTTTGGCGCAGTCCATCAGACTTTGGCGAGACCATCGGACTTTGGTGTCACCATTGGACTTTGGAGTCCTACAAATATATTAACAATTTGAAGTTATTGAAAAAAAAAGTTCAAAGGAGTTAACCCTAGATTCATTATTTCCTAATCATTTGCCTTGGGGAAAGAACATGTCTCTCCATCAAAACAAATTTGAATTCCCATTATTCAAGGATGTATTGCATTATGTGTGGTTGAAGATAGTCCAGTGTTTCTTGAAAAGTTGAAAAGGACACAACAAAAATGATAACACCAGGTAATCTGGGTGACTCAAGTGACCTTTAACCTTTCCTCCTCCCAATGTAACTTTTCAATGTGATGCAAAATCTCAGGAAAAATCAATTTGATATAATCAGTAAAGATAAGAAATGATCTAAAGGGTGACATGATAGGAAGTGAGTTACCTCTACATCTACATCAGGGACATATGCAAACAGATCGTGTAATACTTCTGTTCTACCATTGACAGCCAGCCAGTGTATCTGTAAAACAGTAATGTAATCAGCGAGTGTATCTGTAATATACTGATATAATCAGCCAGTGTATCTGTAAAACAGTAATGTAATCAGCCAGTGTATCTGTAATATACTGATATAATCAGCCAGTGTATCTGTAATACAGTAATGTAATCAGCTTATGTATCTGTAATATAGTAATGTAATCATCCAGTGTATCTGTAACATAGAAATGTAATCAGCCAGTGTATCTGTAATATAGAAATGTAATCAGTAATGTATATGTAATACAGTAATGTAATCAGCCAGTGTATCTGTAATATAGTAATGTAATCAGCCAGTGCATTTGTAACATAGAAATGTAATCAGCAAGTGTATCTGTAATATAGAAATGTAATCAGTAAGTGTATCTGTAATATAGAAATGTAATCAGTCAGTGTATCTGTAACATAGTTATGTAATCAGCCATGTATCTGTAACATAGTAATGTTATCAGCCAGTGTATATGTAACATAGTAATGTTATCAGCCAGTGTATCTGTAACATAGTAATGTAATCAGCCAGTGTATCTGTAACATAGTAATGTAATCAGCCATGTATCTGTAACATAGTAATGTAATCAGCCATGTATCTGTAACATAGTAATGTAATCAGCCATGTATCTGTAACATAGTAATGTAATCAGCCATGTATCTGTAACATAGTAATGTAATCAGCCATGTATCTGTAACATAGTAATGCAATCAGCCAGTGTATCTGTAACATAGTAATGTAATCAGCCATGTATCTGTAACATAGTAATGCAATCAGCCAGTGTATCTGTAACATAGTAATGTAATCAGCCAGTGTATCTGTAACATAGTAATGTAATCAGCCAGTGTATCTGTAACATAGTAATGTAATCAGCCAGTGTATCTGTAACATAGTAATGTAATCAGCCATGTATCTGTAACATAGTAATGTAATCAGCCAGTGTATCTGTAACATAGTAATGTAATCAGCCAGTGTATCTGTAACATAGTAATGTAATCAGCCATGTATCTGTAACATAGTAATGTAATCAGCCATGTATCTGTAACATAGTAATGCAATCAGCCAGTGTATCTGTAACATAGTAATGTAATCAGCCATGTATCTGTAACATAGTAATGCAATCAGCCAGTGTATCTGTAACATAGTAATGCAATCAGCCAGTGTATCTGTAACATAGTAATGTAATCAGCCATGTATCTGTAACATAGTAATGTAATCAGCCAGGTATCTGTAACATTGTAATGTAATCAGCCAGGTATCTGTAACATTGTAATGTAATCAGCCATGTATCTGTAACATTGTAATGTAATCAGCCATGTATCTGTAACATAGTAATGTAATCAGCCAGTGTATCTGTAACATAGTAATGTAATCAGCCATGTATCTGTAACATAGTAATGTAATCAGCCAGTGTATCTGTAACATAGTAATGTAATCAGCCATGTATCTGTAACATAGTAATGTAATCAGCCAGTGTATCTGTAACATAGTAATGTAATCAGCCATGTATCTGTAACATAGTAATGTAATCAGCCAGGTATCTGTAACATTGTAATGTAATCAGCCAGGTATCTGTAACATTGTAATGTAATCAGCCATGTATCTGTAACATAGTAATGTAATCAGCCAGTGTATCTGTAACATAGTAATGTAATCAGCCATGTATCTGTAACATAGTAATGTAATCAGCCAGTGTATCTGTAACATAGTAATGTAATCAGCCATGTATCTGTAACATAGTAATGTAATCAGCCATGTATCTGTAACATAGTAATGTAATCAGCCATGTATCTGTAACATAGTAATGCAATCAGCCAGTGTATCTGTAACATAGTAATGTAATCAGCCATGTATCTGTAACATAGTAATGCAATCAGCCAGTGTATCTGTAACATAGTAATGTAATCAGCCATGTATCTGTAACATAGTAATGTAATCAGCCAGGTATCTGTAACATTGTAATGTAATCAGCCAGGTATCTGTAACATTGTAATGTAATCAGCCATGTATCTGTAACATTGTAATGTAATCAGCCATGTATCTGTAACATTGTAATGTAATCAGCCAGGTATCTGTAACATTGTAATGTAATCAGCCATGTATCTGTAACATTGTAATGTAATCAGCCATGTATCTGTAACATTGTAATGTAATCAGCCATGTATCTGTAACATAGTAATGTAATCAGCCAGGTATCTGTAACATTGTAATGTAATCAGCCATGTATCTGTAACATAGTAATGTTATCAGCCAGTGTATATGTAACATAGTAATGTTATCAGCCAGTGTATCTGTAACATAGTAATGTAATCAGCCATGTATCTGTAACATTGTAATGTAATCAGCCATGTATCTGTAACATAGTAATGTAATCAGCCATGTATCTGTAACATAGTAATGTAATCAGCCAGTGTATCTGTAACATAGTAATGTAATCAGCCATGTATCTGTAACATAGTAATGTAATCAGCCAGTGTATCTGTAACATAGTAATGTAATCAGCCAGTGTATCTGTAACATAGTAATGTAATCAGCCATGTATCTGTAACATAGTAATGTAATCAGCCAGGTATCTGTAACATAGTAATGTAATCAGCCAGGTATCTGTAACATTGTAATGTAATCAGCCAGTGTATCTGTAACATGGTAATGTAATCAGCCAGTGTATCTGTAACATAGTAATGTAATCAGCCAGTGTATCTGTAACATAGTAATGTAATCAGCCAGTGTATCTGTAACATAGTAATGTAATCAGCCAGTGTATCTGTAACATAGTAATGTAATCAGCCATGTATCTGTAACATAGTAATGTAATCAGCCAGTGTATCTGTAACATAGTAATGTAATCAGCCAGTGTATCTGTAACATAGTAATGTAATCAGCCAGTGTATCTGTAACATAGTAATGTAATCAGCCAGTGTATCTGTAACATAGTAATGTAATCAGCCAGTGTATCTGTAACATAGTAATGTAATCAGCCAGTGTATCTGTAACATAGTAATGTAATCAGCCAGTGTATCTGTAACATAGTAATGTAATCAGCCAGTGTATCTGTAACATAGTAATGTAACCAGCCAGTGTATCTGTAACATAGTAATGTAATCAGCCAGTGTATCTGTAACATAGTAATGTAATCAGCCAGTGTATCTGTAACATGGTAATGTAATCAGCCAGTGTATCTGTAACATGGTAATGTAATCAGCCAGTGTATCTGTAACATGGTAATGTAATCAGCCAGTGTATCTGTAACATGGTAATGTAATCAGCCAGTGTATCTGTAACATAGTAATGTAATCAGCCAGTGTATCTGTAACATAGTAATGTAATCAGCCAGTGTATCTGTAACATAGTAATGTAATCAGCCAGTGTATCTGTAACATAGTAATGTAATCAGCCAGTGTATCTGTAACATAGTAATGTAATCAGCCAGTGTATCTGTAACATAGTAATGTAATCAGCCAGTGTATCTGTAACATAGTAATGAAATCAGCCAGTGTATCTGTAACATAGTAATGTAATCAGCCAGTGTATCTGTAACATAGTAATGTAATCAGCCAGTGTATCTGTAACATAGTAATGTAATCAGCCAGTGTATCTGTAACATAGTAATGTAATCAGCCAGTGTATCTGTAACATAGTAATGTAATCAGCCAGTGTATCTGTAACATAGTAATGTAATCAGCCAGTGTATCTGTAACATAGTAATGTAATCAGCCAGTGTATCTGTAACATAGTAATGTAATCAGCCAGTGTATCTGTAACATAGTAATGTAATCAGCCAGTGTATCTGTAACATAGTAATGTAATCAGCCAGTGTATCTGTAACATAGTAATGTAATCAGCCAGTGTATCTGTAACATAGTAATGTAATCAGCCAGTGTATCTGTAACATAGTAATGTAATCAGCCAGTGTATCTGTAACATAGTAATGTAATCAGCCAGTGTATCTGTAACAAAGTGATGCAAAATGTGAAGATAACAAACAGTAACCAAACTTGTAGATCATTAAATCTGTGTCTTTTGTTAAAGTTCCTTAAAAATATTATTTCCTGACAAAATCTAAGGAAAAAAAAAAAGACCAGATATCAATTTTTGATAATCTTGGCACAAGTTACTTCCCTTTCCGTCACTCTCCAGAGTTAAAGACTTACCGCAGTTAATCCTTCATTGTTTCTGATGTTGACATCTGCTTTACATTCCAGTAGCTTGTTAATACATCTCTTCTGTCTGCAAATATAATAAAAATCATAAGCAAACCAACTAATACATCTATATATTCTTTTATTAAGTTCATCAGTTCAGAAATAACTGATTCAACTGTTTCATTTTGAGTGACTTTCTCTCATAAAATTTAGGGAATTCGGGATAAAAATTATCTAATACTAATACAAAATTCTTTCTGTATTGACAAAAAATTCTAGAACAGTTATGTCAAAGTGTGTTCACACTCAAATTCACAGTTAACTTTCTTATATTGTACACTTGGAAATCTCAAAATTTTTTGCCCTAGTGTGTCCCCATTATTGAGATTAAACTGTAGTAATATTTACCCATTCCTGGCGGCCAGATATCCACATTACTGAGATTAAACTGTAGTAATATTTACCCGTTCCTGGCGGCCAGATGTCCAAAATACTGAGATTAAACTGTAGTAATATTTACCTGTTCCTGGTAGCCAGATGTCTACATTACTGAGATTAAACTGTAGTAATATTTACCTGTTCCTGGTAGCCAGATGTCTACATTACTGAGATTAAACTGTAGTAATATTTACCTGTTCCTGGCGGCCAGATGTCTACATTACTGAGATTAAACTGTAGCAATATTTACCTGTTCCTGGCGGCCAGGTGTCTGCATTTCTGAGATTAAACTGTAGTAATATTTACCCGTTCCTGGTGGCCAGGTGTCCGCATAACTAAGTTAAATTTAGTAATATTTACCCGTTCCTGGCAGCCAGATGTAGAGGCGTACATCCAGACATGTCCTGACGATTGACATCCACACCTTTCTTTATCAGGATCACCAGACACTCATAGGAACCAGTGCTGGAAAGCAGGAATAACTTAGTACACAGTCATACACATTTACAAGTGTGGCAATGAAGTGTGTGTGATTAGTCGTAGGACAGTGTCAGTTTATCAACACTGCTAATATATTCATAAAAACAAAATGTTCTCATATTTAACCAGGTGTTAAAGAGTCACTTCTTCTATAAAAGACTTCAAAATGAAATTATCTCAAAATCTTTCTCTTTTTGATTAACAATCCAGTTCACACATGACACTAAAATACATCACAGGATAGCAACTTCTGGCATGTAAAAAAAAAAAAAATAATAAAATTGTGTGCTAACTCTCAAACAGAAAAAAAATAATCTTGAAAATATCATACTAAAATAAACTCATCTATACCACTGTATTTCTTTCTTACTTTGCAGCAATGTGGAGCAGATTTCTGCGGCCTCTTCCTGGGGCAAAGTTGACATCAAATTTGGAGTTTGATAAAAGTTCTGATACAGATCTGTTAAAAATATATATAATGGTTGTACAATCACTCCATTCCTTTAAATCAAAATGCTGAGTACTATATACATCATCTTATTTGCTGGTTAACTGACATTATATATTTGTAATGCTTTACTAAAAATACTACATACCTGTGTTGATTGCCAATGATCATGGACATAAGCATGTAAAATGCTGATTCTTGATCTGTATATAACAAACAGAAATAAATCATTTTAAACAAAATAAAGAATCATTCTTTAACAAAAACATATTCAAATAAATTGTATTTCACCAGGTAATTGATGCAGGGACCAAATATATGAAATACAGTGGGTATATCAAGCCTTACACTTCCAAAAGGAAGGGGTGGGATTTGTTTTAATGCAGTGTTATATCATCTTTGCTAGCCAAGTGTTTTTGAATTCTGATCCACTACACTCCTCATAAGCCCTTGGCCTATCGTGCTATCAAAGTTTGGAATTTTTTCTAGAGATGATTGGAGTTTATCAATACCTTTTGTCCAATCACTCAGCAAGTGTACTGTAAAGCTATAGTAAATGACGATATCTCCATTTGGGGTTTTTCTTGACTCTTTAGTCTTGGAAATGAAAAATATGCATAAACTCCAAAAGATACATGTAACATGTCATTCTATAAAAAGTTTTATGGCATCAGCCAACTTTAAAGTTGATGTGCACATAATTTAATCTTGAATCTACATTGCAGTTAAGGATTTGCACCCAAATAATAATAAAAAAAATTCGCTCATTACCTGCTTTTCGACTTGTTTTTATATATGCTCTTTTTTTCAGTCAATAACACACTGAAGCTGTGTGTTTAAGTTGTTTAAGGTAAGATTCAAAATCATTCGGCATAAACAACCCCATCTTTTGATTGCAAGATAGACCAATTGTTAATTATGGGATTAAGGGATTGTGAGGAGCGTAGTGGATCAGAAACACTTTTGGCCAGAGCAAAGATGCACAGGGTTCTCTCTCTCTAGATATATAATGTGTGGAAATTTGAGGTGCCTGTGATCATAGGCCTCTGATTTTCTATCAATAAGCTGTTGTATGATTGATCAGAGTCATATATATATCCCCTCTATATATATATATATATAAATACACCAGGGGTACGTAGCATCTACATAAAGCTACGCTCTTGAATGGAGAGCTAGCCTAGCAGCTATGTAGGGAGAGCTAGCATAAATATTTGATGCTAAGTACCAAATCCAAGATGGCCTCTTAGTTACAACTTCGCAGCACATATGATTTTAAATGGGGAATTATTTTGTACATCATAGCATATTAAATGTATATTTACATATATATATTTTAACTTGAAAATAAACTTTTTTTGCTCCAAAAATAAGTTTATACTGATATACATGTATTCATATTCGAAATTTAACACTTAGTGGCTAGATCAGCTGTCCGTTCAATAGAGATAGATATCAACAACCTAGTTGCTAGTTAGCCACTACGATCTTGAACGCAGCCTAGGTATACCTGGTGTATTTATAGCGAGTGCAGCGAGCGGCGCAAAGCGCCGCTCGCAATGTGAGCTCTAACAATAACGCCTTGGCGAAGAGAAAATTCTGACTTTGCACATTGATCCAAATGAAATTTTTTGGAGACCCACAATGCAACGCTTGTTGTTCTTGCTGCTAACTTCGTTCTCGCGGTAACAACAACTAAAAATTCACAACAAGAGGCCCACGGGCCTTATAGGTCACCTGAGTATCATGCAACAACTTCGCCACATTGGATTCATGTTTTAAACCAGAGGCCATGAAATTCACAATTTCGAAAGAGGCACACTTGCTCATCATAATTTTACATTTAGTAAGCTTACTTAATACCCAGAAAGAGAGCAGAGGATTATCAAAGAATTAATGCATTTTCACTATGTAATCATTAGAGCCCTGCCCTAACACCAGAACCATGATGCAGGGGCCATAAAATTCACAATTTTGGGAGAGGCATCCTTACATATCATAACAATACTCTTAGTTCATCAGCTTAATACCCAGGAGAAAAGGAGAAGATTTTCAAAGAATTATTGCATTTTTACTATGTAATCATTAGAGCCCCACCCTAACACCAGAACCCCTGACCCAGGGGCCATGAAATTCATAATTTTGGAAGAGGCACCTTTACTCATCATAACTATGCATCGGTTTGTTTGTTAAATACCCAGGATCAAAGAAAAAGATTTTTAAAGAAATAATGCATTATCACTATATATTCAACAGAGCCCCACCCTAACACCAGAACCCCTGACCTAGGGGCCATGAATTTCACAATTTTGGAACAGCCACCCTTACATATCATAACTATACTCTTAGTTCATCGGCTTATTACCCAGGAGAAAAGGAGAAGATTGTCAAAGAATTATTGCATTTTTACTATGTAATCATTAGAGCCCCGCCCTAAAACAGAACCCCTGACCAGGGGCCATGAAATTCACAACATAGGAATAGGCACCCTTATTCATCATAACTGTGCCTTCAGTTTGTTTGCCCTGGATCAGAGAAGATTTTTAAAAGAAATAATCCATTTTCACTATACATGTATATTCAACAGAACGCTGCCCTAACACCAGAACCCCTGACCCTGGGGCCATGAAATTCAAAATTTTGGAAGAGGCACCTTTCATCATCATAACTATGTATTTATTTTGTTTTCATAATATCCAAGAGCACAGAAGAAGCTCTTTAAAGAAATAATACATTATCACTATATATTCAACAGAGCCCCACCCTAACACCAGAACCCCTGACCCTTGGGCCATGAAATTCACAATTTTGGAAGAGGCACTTTTTCTCATCATAACTATGTACTTAGTTCATCGGCTTAATACCCAGGAGCAGAGGAGAAGATTTTTGAATAACTAATGCATTTTCACTATATAACCATTAGATACCCGCCCTAACACCAGAACCCCTGACCCTGGGGCCATGAAATTCACAATTTTAGAAGAGACACCTTTCCTCATCATAACTATGCATATTGTTTGTTTCCTAAATACTCAAGAGCAGAGGAGAAGATTTTTTAAGAATAATGCTTTTCACTACATATTCAACAGAGCCCCACTCTAGCACCAGAACCCCTGACCCTGGGGCCATAAATTTCACAATTTAGGTAGAGGGCTCAATGCTTATTACATTCATGCCAACAGTTTGCCTGCTTGATGCCCAGGAGTAAAGAAGAAGATTTTTAAAGATTGCATTAATTCTGATGGTTTTAGCCCCACCCCTCAGGCCCCAGGGGGGTAGGGGTCATGAATTTCACAATTTTTACTCCCCTTCACATATAGATGCTATGTGCCAAATTTGGTTGAATTTGGTTCAGTGGTTCCAGAGAAGAAGCTGAAAATGTTCAAATGTTAACGCACGACGGACGACGGACGATGCACGACGCACGCCGACGGACGAAAACAGATAGCAATAGGTCACCTGAGTAAACTCAGGTGACCTAAAAAATAGACTCACCATAATTTAATGGATATTGCATACAGATAGTAGATTAAATGTTGTTTGTTAAAATTTTGCACTTTTCAAACTTCGTTTATGTCTCGTGCGGTTTAGGAGGCAGTTATTAAAATTAAATGAACAACTGCCCTCACCCCAACGGTCGCACTGGCAACATATTATAGCAAGCGCAGCGAGCTCATTTAGACTAACATGTAAGACCAGAGGAAATTCGGAATGAAATCTGTACATATGTCAGGCAAATTTTCTGGTGCAACATTCCCAGAATTCCTTCGCTACCAGGGTTCCATGCGAAATTCTTACAAAACATACAAAAGACCAAGGATAATTATTCATTTCCGAGAGATAAGTTTATTTTCTTTCTTTGTGGAGAGCATAAAAGAAACAAAAAATAATTACAACTACTTTACAACATATTTCATTTATTATTGCACAAGATCTTTAGTCTTGTTCAACCAGACGCTCGGCTGTCTCCGTAAATTCCAACGTCATGTGACGTCACAGTCTAGACTGTGTCTCGTGCAGTTTGACGTTTGATGAGGTGGATCAAAATTACAAGTGTAAGGTGCTATAGCTTTTGGTACAATTGTGCTCGCCCCAACGGTCACACCGTAAAACATATTATATTAGAGGGGATAGATACATCACTCTGATCAATTGTATTGCTCTTCATTATATGTTGTAATCTGTCTGTTACTTTATCTGTAAGTATATATTACAAATAATTATATATATTATGTTTATGTCCATTGGGCCCTGATTTGGTAATAAATTCTTTTCTGTTCTATAACGGCTTATTGATAGAAATTCAGAGGCCTGTGCTGTGATCATACAAAATGTTTTACTAATTTCTATCTCCTTCATTGTAATCGCAAACATGTACCCTTTGGCAGTTCCACAGTCCTGGCACTTCTTAAAGAGGCCGCCAAATCTTTAAGAAATTCCATTCTTCATCAGATTTTCACCTACTCGCTCTCTTCCTGACTATTTCAGGTCTGTCATGTCTCAAAATAAAATATTGGCGCTCTTCTGTCGCGGAAGTAATATTAGACCTAGAAGGATAAAAATTTGAAAATATTTTAGTCGGACTAAAACGGTTTGGTTAAACAATTAAAAAAAAAACCTTTTGGAATTTTCACAATAATTTTGCAGAAGTGTTTTAGAAACATTAATTTTTTTTTATTTGGGATCAAATATTGAAAAGATTACCAATTTTGAAATAAAAATTTCGACTGCTTTGACTTTTTTACAAAATATTCCGAATATTTACTTTCGATCCACACAACCAATTATCAAGTTCTTTCAGTTTCAGAGTTTAAGTTTGTGACGTTATTGGTAAGTTTATTGTAAATTGTTTGTGTGTATAGGGCAAGATATTAATATTTCATAAGTAGATACTGTTCTTCAATTAATCAACTTAAAGTGAGAACATAATATGAAGAACAAACAAATTTGTGAAACAAAGGACTATATAGTTCGAATTTCCTTTATTATGGTTAGCGACAATGCATTGCGAAAGGTATTTTGAATCCGGGATGTTTCGCGCTAATTCTGTTTCGCACTGAGATGGTTCGCGCCTGGATGATTCGCGCCGATTTAGGTGCGAAACATCGCACGATTTATTTTAAATATTCCATGACATTTTTATTCATTTAAAAAAAATTGTTTATCAATTATAAAGATGTTGTGTGCACATGACTTAATAATACATGTATGCACTGCCAAAGATTACGGATCGTGTTCATCAAATATTCCATGAGGATTTAATTGTAATTAGTTGTAGATCAAAAGGTGAGAATTTATTAATTGACGTGTTGGTAGTCAAACCAGCAATAATTACTTAATTAGATGGAGGTATTATAATTAGCATGGTGTTAAAATAATACATAATTATATGCTATGTATACTTCAAACACAGACATAAATAATTATGTCTCTGCTACAAATATAATCTTCTTGAATTAAAAAAAATGTTTCAAAAAATATCAAAATTTACACCATATAACATGTTTAAAATCTAAAATTTTGTTAAACGAACTTCAGTAGGCTAGCACATATTTGTACAACAATGTGGGGCGAACCATCTCAGTGCGAAACGGAATGGGTGTGAAACATCGCAGCGCGAACCATGCTTAGGTGCGAAACATCCCGTTACCGGTATTTTTGACCTACTTCGACATATATCTTTGATTCATAAAATTAAAAAAAATGATATGAAAAGGAAATAAGAGATCGTAAAGATTATACTTTTGTGTGTAAATAGAACAGTATCATCCAAATTACAGTTTTGTGTTGGTGTTCATCAAAGAAGTATGCAGTTTTCTTTGCTAAAGTGAAAGTGTCTTGTGTTTTCAACCTAAAAAATCTGAACTCCCAGTCAGTATTCACTATTGACAAGGAATAACTGTAGGATTTTCTG